AATGAAATTGGACTTGAAGGAGGAAAAGCTTTAGCTGAAGCTTTATGCGTGAATACTACTTTAACGTCCTTAAATCTTTATTTTAACCAACTTGGGCCCGAAGGAGGAGAAGCGTTAGGAGAAGCTCTTTCCAAAAACGCCTCATTAATGTCTTTAAATCTTGGTAAAAATAGAATTGGTTTTGAAGGAGGAAAAGCTTTAGCAGAGGCTCTCCGTGTAAATACTACCATGACTTTTTTATATCTTTGTGGTGAAGAAATAAAAATACTAAAAAAATTATTTCATGTAAATACTACTTTAGAATTGTTGGAAATTTAAAATAGATGTCAGAACATTGTAAAAGGTAGCAATAGATTGAAGAGTTCGAGGAAGAATTAGAATCAAAGGAAATAGTAGAATCAAAGGAAATAGTAGAATCAATCAATAGATCAAGTAAAATTAATAAAAATATATAACAGAAGGTGTTTCGACCTTCACAAAAGTGATTTATTGTATAGCCTTTAGATATTGTTATTAAAATTTTATGACTTATATTTAAAGTCAAAAGAAAAAACAATGTAAAATCACCAGTAATTTTATATTATCCAATTTTCAACAAAAGGTTTTTTTGTGCATTATAGTGCGGTTTTTATTTTCTATGATGTAAAAATTTAATGTAATAGAATAAATGAGTAAAGAAATAAAAACGTAAAATTTTATAAAATGTAGTATTAAATGAGTAATAGATGAGTATTAAGTGTTTACGTATACACCCAGAGAGTACGCTTGGTCACTTTCATATAAAAGTTACGCAAAATTGTTAGTAAAAAAATAAGCGTATTTGAACCATTATTGGTGACATAAATAAGTCTGCATACATAGTAAATGTGAATGTTTTTCTTAAAATATATATATACATTGGACTTTTATTTTTGTAAATATAAAAATAAATTAATCGATAAAGTTCATACTAATTCTAAAATGATTTCTTTATAAAAAGTTAATCCGTGTTTTCTATTTAATGTTTTATCTATAAATGTCGCATATTCATGGAATGTATATTTTCGAACTATGGAAATTATTCAGTCAACTAAATCATGCTGTGGATTCACGGAATTTTTACAGAAAATAAAGCGATATAATTGAACCATTTAAATAAAATTTTTTACAAGACACACGTTATTATTATTCATTGAATCACAAATAATACATGTTGACTCAAATTGGTATAAATTATTAACGACATAATATAGGCTAACCACGTTCGCGATTATCCGTTCCTGGAGTAGCAATATAATTATGATTATCTGTATCTGTACCTGGAGTAGCAATATAATTAGGGCGTCTCCTATAACAAATGTAACCTATGATACCTGCAATAATAATTAATGCAAGCAAGCCACTACTAAGGCCAATAACTAATTTAAGTTTATCGGAGATATTTGATGGATTAGAAATTGTACTTAAATCAAAAGATTTAACCCATGTATGACTTGAGGTGTCTAAAATATAGACATCATTATTAGGAGCAGTTGCCAAATCAAATCCTTTACCCGCTGAAAAGAAAGCACCTAAAAATAAATAAATATTTTAATGATGATCAAAGATATAACATTTTAGTTAATGAGTATAATTACCAAATGCTACGATCATATAATTTCCAACTGTCTGAGCTGAATGATAAGCAAGAGGACGTGGAATATCACCGTTAGATATTATTTCAGACCATTTGTAAGGCTCAACACTTGTATCTAATGCTGCCAAAGACGGATATGGGCTTTTTGTAAAATTATTAGAACCACCACCATAAATAATAATAGTAGAATTATCTTTGCCTGAAATAAATTTGAATATCAATGTTTTGTAAGTAAAAAATAGATTTGTACCGTGTAAAGTACGTATTGTAAGCGAAAGTTTTTTGCTAACAACATATATTCAAAACTAGGAATTATACATATCAATGCTCAACAAATCTATTCTAAAAAATTGGATAAATTTGCCACATACTTAAAACAGCAGTATGAGATAGACGTGTCTCAATCGCGCCAACCGCCGACTATTAATTAATTCATACATATTAATAAATATCTAAGTAAATACAGTAAAAATATTTTATTTACCTTTAAAGTCCAATTTCCAGAAATCGTATTATAAACCGAAATCTAATTATAAATAACAAAAACCTATATTATATAAACAATAATGAGAGGTTTAATTATCATAAAAATTTAATTACTTTGTTCATATCAATTTCTGCAAGTGAATAGTTTGTTGTTACTCCATTCGGAAAGTCTTGAGTTCCTCCTATATATATAATAAGCCCGCTTGGTAAAAGTGTGGCAGTATAGGCGGATCGAATGATTGGAGCATCAAGACCATTATTAAGCCAAGAATTGCTCAAAGAATTAAATTTGTAGGTGTTATTGCTCGATTTAAAGGTTTCGTACGGATCAAATCCACCATTAATATATATTATACCATTCTTATCAACAACTGCATCCATATTTTGTCTCGAAGATGGCGCACTTCCCAATGTATGCGGTGCATCCCATTTTTGATTTATTATATCAAAGGTAAACATCACTAAAGTAGACGAATTAACATTGTCTGTATTACGATGTTCAAATAGAAATATGGTAGAATTATTACTTCCACCAAGGCAAGAAGGCGAGAACGCACTCTTAACAGGAATAGGTGCAAGATTTGACCACCTAAGATTTTCAGTGCTAAATGGTGATGAAATATCTAAATAAAATAAATCACTAGTGCCAACGTTTGCAATATTTAAACCACCTAAAAAGTATATTTTATTTTCAATAATGACACTGCCTTGGTAAATACGACTAGCAGGTGTAAATGCGGCTGTCATGATGATAAATTAATTAAGACTCGATTCTATTGGCCATAAATAATATAATCTTGTTCGTTCGTTCAATAATGAATATAAATGAAGGCAATGTTAGTGACTGTTTAACCTTATTAATTCTATTCTCAGGAATCAAATAACTTATTACCGGTATATACCAGCATATAACCCACAGTTAAACTACAGAAATTTTATAAAAAGGTTAAATACAGAATTTGTAATTTGCATATTTTATACTTTTATATAGGATAACGTAATAACAATTTTATTAATCACCTGTAGATATATATATTAAAAGAAATAAAAAAAATAAATACATAATTTTATTAAATATGAATTAAATATCAATAGGGTGATTGATCAGATTTCTAATTTCGAATAAAATTATTGACGTATTTGTTTCGAAATAAACGGTCTGTAAATCCTATCTTTTTATACGTATAATTATAAAAAAATATATATTTCTAGTTCATATTCTGTTTCAAAACAGAAATAGGACTTTTAAAACTCACTTATTTTTAAAATAAAGTAATTCTGAATCACTTAATATTAATAAATTCCTTACAAACACGCAATAATTTGATACTAAGAAAAAACCAATTCAATTTTTAATGAAATTATTATATTTAAAGGCTAAACCAAA